ATTGCCTGTCTGTTCTGTTTAGGTTGATCCACAAAAATACAAGAGCATCTTCAATGGATTTTCAGTGACAGTCAAAGAAGATGGCGTTCGTGGCTTGGCTAAGGGATGGGCTCCAACCTTTATTGGCTATTCCATGCAGGGGCTTTGTAAATTTGGTTTCTATGAAGTTTTCAAAATCCTATATGGCAACATGCTGGGAGAGGTAAGCCTTAAGTGGTTTACGTGAGGCTATATATGTGCAACATAATAGTATTAGTAACTAATAAGTAATTAGCAAAGTAATCACAAAAGTATGATTCATTAATAAAAACGTGTGTTTAAATTCACTTCAGGAAAATGCTTATTTGTGGCGTACTTCGCTATATTTAGCTGCATCTGCCAGTGCGGAGTTTTTTGCTGACATTGCTCTGGCTCCAATGGAAGCTGCTAAAGTTCGTATTCAGACACAGCCTGGATATGCTAACACTCTGCGGCAGGCTGTACCCAAAATGTTTGGAGAAGAAGGCATCTGGGCGTGAGTATCTCTTGATTTGGATTTTTATTTTTATTCAGGTTCTTGATGTTGAGTATTTTTCCCCGATGAAGGACTTGCTAAAACTAGTTGTGGCTTTAGCTTATAATACTTTTTGGTCTTTGTATTTCAAGATAACAACCCAACATACTTCAGGAAATCTGTGCTGAACTGGCTGTTAATTCCACATGCTCCTTAGATCCATCTTTGTGAGTATCTTTGTGCTGAGTTCTGCTGGATAACTTCAGTTTCTAGCAGTTCCAGTCAGAGATACTCAGCAACTTTTCGGTTGTACAGTCAAAGATGCTTGAGTCATTGGCATGTAAGAGTAATATAACTGCATGTCAGCTTTCTGTTCTGATAGAAGTGGCTGTAAATATAAAAGTCATTTATCGCTATCAGGACGTGGCTGGTATGCAGACATGAGCCTTACTGCACTTGTAGTGCATTGTAATCTGAGAAGTGACTATGAAAAACAGCTGTGCAGTGTAGGGATCAGGTAAATTCTAATTTGCATTGCTGTTTTAAGCTCGTACTCGGGAACTACTAAAACTTACATTTCTGTTCTGTAGGTATTGAGACACTTTAGCCTTACAGTGTCAGTATTTAGAAGCTGTATTCCTGATAGCAACAATAAGGCAGCCGATGTTTTTTCAAGTTTAGAAATGTACCTTGAATACTGGAGAAAATAAAACTGAGTTTGTCTCTTCTCTGGTTAAGTTTCTATAAAGGTGTTGCTCCACTATGGATGAGACAGATTCCATACACAATGATGAAATTTGCTTGCTTTGAACGTACTGTTGAAGCTCTCTACAAGTACGTCGTTCCCAAGCCACGAAGTGAATGTACAAAAGCAGAACAGCTGGTAGTCACATTTATTGCAGGTTATATTGGTAAGGAATCTTTAACTTCCACACTTTGTTAATGGACTACCACAACTCTAGAAGCCTTTTGAGCATATCAAATAGGTGTAACTAGCATGGGAGAACTTGTAACTTCAAAATGTGCAGGGGAAAAAAAACTGTATTCAGTCTGTAACTGGAAGATGGGTCTGTAGTAAGACAATAGTTCCTATGTATTATCAGTGTTAATGTCCAAGGTTAGAAACTGCAGCTGATTTAAGTGAAAAAAAATTGCATCTTTGCTAGGCTGGGGAACATGAAAAGGGGAGAGAAATCTGGATGGAAGGGGGATTTTCAATATCCAAAGATTCCGAAGGAATTTTGTTTTAGCAGAAGAGGTGCTGCAAGAGCAGAACTGAGGTGTTTTCTGATATTCATGTCACATTTGAAGTATGTACCTGCTGTCCTTTTAGGATAGCAGGAGGCTTGACATAAAGTAGATGCAATTAGAAGGTGTGGTTTCAGTTGCTTGTACTTAGTGTACACAGTAATGTTGCAGCTAAAACACCACGGAACTAATGTCAAATTATTCTTGCAGCTGGTGTGTTCTGTGCAATTGTTTCCCATCCTGCTGACTCTGTGGTGTCTGTGTTGAACAAAGAAAAGGGCAGTTCTGCTTCACAGGTTCTTATGAGGCTTGGATTCAAAGGTAAATCCTCGCTTTCATCTATTTTGGATCAAGTGTTTGTAGTGTTCTGGGGAGGATCTCTTTTTTTTCCTGGCTTCTTATGCTACTCATGCTTCATGTTTTGCTCTACAGGTGTATGGAAAGGTCTGTTTGCTCGTATCATTATGATTGGTACCCTGACTGCACTACAGTGGTTCATCTACGATTCTGTGAAGGTTTATTTCAGACTTCCTCGTCCACCTCCACCTGAAATGCCAGAATCTCTGAAGAAGAAGCTTGGTCTAACTGAATAGGCAACTCATGGACTGACTGTACTGGCTGTCCCAGTGATGAGTTTCACGAAACTTTTATATATTTGACTAGTAGAAAACAAACTCTATACGATGTCATTATTGGCTGTGCCCTCATCCTGCATGAGGGTTTAAATTCTACCACTGTCATTGCCTGAAATAAATGAGAAACAGAGTGCTTAGTGTCTGTTTACTACTGCATATGTAAGCTTCATTTCATAGCAAATACCTCAAGTAATTCCCGCCCCCCCCCAAAAAAAAAACCAAAACAAAACCCACCAAAATTATTCTACACTTAAGGAACTAGAAAATTATTAAACCGTTGTAACAAAAATAGACTTTCAATGTTTCCAGAGAAGTGCCAAGAGCCTGTTTTTGCAGAACTACAGAAACTAACTGCAGTTCTGTGCACTTCAAGTCCACTGTTTTACTTGCCTATAATAAGCTGTTACTGTAGAACTGCTGAGCTCCTGAATGGCCGAGATGGGACTGCAGCCTGGTAGGGCATCCTGGTCATAGCATCGCTGTTCTCTATAGAGATAAAAGGAACCTTTATATATAACAGAGCCATTTCTGCTTTGGGGTGGTCATCCCAATGTAGATAACTTGTGCTTGCTTGACTAATTTCTGTTTCTGTTGGCTTTGAACTGCACCAAAGAACTCAGTCCGTTTGGTTGTCCTGTGGAATTAAACAGTAGCTGCTACCTTAACAAAAGAAAAGCTGATGTTAATAAAGATTCTCAAAGATACCCGACCACTAAAGGCTTCCTACGGCTTTACAGTAAAATAAAAATGGCTGGCTGCTTGTAGAGTTTGACATGCTTGACAGCTTTTCTCTGCAGTTGGTACTCCTGTAGTTTGATTCCACACACCCCCAGCCCCCCCTCTTTTTTCCTTCTGAGTTAGTTTAACCATAATGCTGAGTTTTGGTTGAACCATGCACTTCTGCAGTGCAAGAAGCCATACCCATCTTTTTTTCAATCTTACTTGATGTGAAGAAATCTAGGCTCCTAGGCATGCTAGAGGAGACACTCATGCAGCGTTTTGTTAAGGCAATGAATTTGTTTTTTCCAGTCTTTCACAGAAAGATGCATGTGCTGCCTCCTGCGTTTTGCCTATTCGAGAACCCATAGTTGATAATCACATTGGGAGAAATCCCCCAAATGCCTAATAGTATATATTAAGGATTCACCGTATCCAGTACTACTTCATTCACTTAGTAGATCTGGAGTTTAAGTGTCTTCTGTGCAAAACTGGATTTGCTGCCTTTCAGCATCTGAGCTGATGATACTGAACTAAGCTTGGCGTTCATGTACGTTGTACTGCTCCTTCCTCTCTAATTCTGTCCTTCAGGGTCAAAAAGGACAATTAAAGCAGGCGCCACTGGAGCAGCGTAACGTAAATACGCTGACCACCGCATCCTACTGGGGTCTGGTGTTCCTGCTACCATTATACATAGCGCTCAGCTTCTCACACCGGGGGAAAGCCCTCTGACTTCCAAGATTTTGGATGGTTATGCTAAATGAGCAAGCTGAGCCTTGCTTTGAATTCCTGCCTTTCAAAATGTGGAGTAAAACCTGAAACTGCCCTATTTCCCTGTCTCATGACACTAAACACACTCTTGGAAGGGTTGGTATTGACTGAGTTACACAGCAAAGTCAAGTTCTGTAAGTCTAAATAAAACATTCGTGCAAGTAATTTGGTGTTGAGTTAAATATGTTTCATGATACAAGTATGTATGTCGTGCCACCCCATCGTGGGTGGGAAGCTTTGAAATTATTTAACAAATTATTAAATGCTCCTAAGAGCTTCCTTGGAGAAGAGCATTAACTATGACTTGAACTTGTATCAGGACCGTTGATGTTAAATCGGCTTTTGAAGTTAACTTCTGTGTGTGGTTCAACACGTTAGAAAAAGCAGTGTTGCTTTTGTGTACTGAGTATCGTAGCTTCTTTAAAGGTGTGTTTTAACTCGGTAGACTTTTCTTTGCTGGAAAACATCTCAAGTTCCTTCTAATCCTGGGGAAGTGAAGCACTTCTGTCAACTTTTAAGGCTGGCAGAAGAGCGAGACAAACTTGACTCGTACAGCGGGGCAGTCTGATGGTCAGGTGATCCAATGAGCAGCTGAAGTGTTTCTTGTCATTTCTTTGTGCGGAGCCAAAGCACGCAATTTTTCTCTAGAATTGGGTCACCTTTATACAGCCACTTTAAATATGTGCAGTCCGTTTCCTTACTGCTCAAGGGTAGACCCGAAACTATCTTAAAGGCGCTCTCATAATTTTATCGAGGTCAATCTGAGATGAGACTACAAGGGGCAGCTAGCCGTTCTGTTCTTCCGTAACTGAGAAAGGGGAAATGCACTTTCTGTTACTTCTGGTGGTGTGTTTCAGCGGAAAACCTGAGAGAATGGCCTTGCAGCTGCTGAGGGCATCGGCATTCAGCCGAAGGCTCGTTTGGATGCCTGAGGCGAAGGGCTTTAACATACAAAATGCTATGACTTAAAGAGCTTAAATAAGCTTCGGTGGGAAAACTAGTATCAAATAGCATTTAAAAGGTCAGCTTTGTCATTGCTAAGTATGCTTTGTAGCATGATGTGCGGTGCGTTTTCCGACAGTTGAGAACGCGGGACAGGGGAGGTGCGGTGCTTCAGATGGGCTTGCGCTTCCATTGCAAGGGGAAATCCTGCATCAAAAAGGAGCGCTCCATTTTGAACCGAGTCTAACTTGGGTAACTCCAGACCAGTCACTAAACCCAAAAGTGCTTTGTAAAATACAGATTATGTATATGCTGCTTGTGTATATTGTTTTATGAAGGAGAAAACATAATTTCTTGCTACTACTGGAGCTGAGATAAGCTTTCTGGTTTAAATTTGGAATAACAGCTCCATTGACACCCTGTGTTTGTATCAGATTGTACTACAGGTCAAATACGCTGATGTTGCCGAAACTTGCTGAAACGCTTGTTACGTATCATTTTAAAATGGGCTGTAATAATGCAAATAGTTGTAATTAATTTGCATTTCTACATAGAAATGATGTAGTTCACAGTGAAAACAATAAACATTCTGCTTTTTTTATAGCAAAGATGAGTGCCTTGGATAGCTGAGCTCGGTGGCTACGCGGCCTTGTTACAGGATGCGATTTTTGTGACTTGAGTGATGTGGGAGAAGGACGTCACTAGCAGAAACTTCTTGGCTGAGCTGATGTGCCGGTGTTTAAGAGTAGATGTTAGCATGTTGGGATTACTTTGCTCGTGTCGTTTTTGAGCACTGATCGCTTAATTCTGTTGCTGGTTCTTTTCCTTGTCACTTGCTGGCTAGAATATAACTGGCCAGCCCTGTACCTGCATGCCAAGTTAAAAGCAGATGCCCTGAGTATCACTACAGGTTGGGCTGCATGGGATGATGCATTTTAAGTAGCATAGCTGTAATTGTCATTATTACCTGGATCTCTCAATCACTTAATAAAATGGTAGAGAGTATCGTTGAGTGCCCCTAGAAATGAACGAAGTAAGGGGGTTGTGGTTTTACCGAGTCGCTACTCCTCCCCGCCGCCGACAGTACTAAACCAAGGCGGTGAGGTTAGTGGTCTGCTTTAAATTTATGAATACCTTGCTCTTAGCTCATCTTTTCCACTGTAGAAAGAGCTTTGCTTCTGTCCTTAGACCACCGTAATTACAAAGCAACTCTAAAATTTGCATTTAATTTTCTAGTAGAGTGGAGGTGTGTACTTGAAGGGCAAACAAAGATTTGTAATGCCTGCGCAGAGTATGGGGAGAGTTACTGCTTGCTCACCTTACTTCTGGGGACAATACAGTTGGTGTGTAAACTTTAGATCCCAATTATTATTTTTTTTGTTTTCAACTGAACTTTACTTCTGTGACGCAAACTTTTTCTCTCTTGCTTGTAGCAACACAGTTTCTGATGGGACCACAATGATTTGGACCTGCGCTTCCTGGGAAGGAAGGGTGGGTGGTCTGCATACATCTGTAGATAAATTAATGCTTCTGTAACATTTTTTGCATACTTAACTTCCCATGGAGACCACGAACAGGACCGTATACTCAGCTTCTCACTGGTAGATGTGTCCTAAGTTCAGAGGTATTCATTTGGAGGTTGAAAGTGAAATTAACAGTTGTTTATCCTGGCTTATTTTCTGGTTACTCTTCCACATGGGAGAGTGTGTGCTCTTTTCATCCAGAAAGGCCTCTTTGCTTGTGTCAAGACTTCTCTGATTAACTGTGCAGCTGGAGCATATTTTCCACTTCACTCATGTAGAAAGTGCTCTACCGGTTCTCCAGTTCTGCCTCTCCAGATTTTTACTGGCTACTGACCACAAATGATTCATTCATTAAGTTGAAGACAGAATAAACAGAATTACTATAGCCCGTGATGCAACTAATTCACTGGTAGCTGTTAACTGCATCGTATGGGCCACAGTGAAAGATGCATAGGATAGATTTCTCACACAGCTGTGTCAAGGTTCTTTTGGTAGCCACATCTGCTGTGCCAAGTGCCCTCCTTGATGGGACTTACCATGTGCTTGCGCACACACCCCCCTCCCCCGACCGATGGATTCAGTGAATATCAGACTTTAATAAACAAATGAGAGATACTTATTATGTAAAACCCAAACTCTTATGGTGTATGTATGTGCATGTGTATATATTTTTTTGGGTATGATACACAATGCATGCCTTAGCATGGCTGATTGTTCTGGATGTTGTTTAATTTTTCTGTCTCCTTCAAATGCCACTTGGTTATTTTCAGGTGCTTGCTTAAGAATTCTGTGAAAGAGCAAGGGGAGGATGGTTGGTAAACAGTATCTGTGGATGCTTTCTAGGAAAACTTGTCTTCTGACAGGTTTATCCTTGCGAATAAACTGTAAAGGGGTAAAAGAAAATTGGGAGGTAGGAATGGACTTATACCAAAAAGAGGAAAACTTGATTATACAAAGCGTTTGAGGTTGACCGAGGGCAACGAAGCAAGCAAGGTTCCGAAGACCAGCACCATGAAGCAGGCCAAAAGGTATGGAATGCTGAATGAGGAGGCGAATAGTGAGGGGGGGAATGGTTCTGTCTTCCATACAGTCAAGAATCTAATAGCTGCAGGATGTTCTGCTAATGACCAACTAAACAACTGAGAAGTCATAAAGGCCTTACTGTATACTTACACATCTTGGTATCATTTCATTTATAGGGATTTTCTTAATTGCTGTATCTCTCCTCATAGGTTTTTATGGTCATTTTTATTATCATTTATTGCGCATTTCCCCCTTTCCTCTGCTAAACCCATTCCCATTATCATGTTACTTCAGTCTGCCACCTACCATGTTTTTGTATGTCTCGGATCTCTTAAACTCTTGTTCCTCACCCCAGGAATACAGCCAGTGGCTCATATCAGTCTAACCTTTTGGGATCTAAGTAGCTTCTTGTTGCTAATTCTGCTGCTCGCTATAGTATTTTACAGGCTAAGAAACAAAGAATGAGTAACGCTGTTAGGGTTCCTGAACAGATACCGTGACACTGGGAGAGCGCCATCAGTGGGGTTAGTAGGTCTTTCAAAGCATTGTCCCCATACCAAGTTCTGTGTTTTAAAGAAGTAATAGTGCTGCACAGTAATTATAATTTACAATTATAAAGCCTCACAGAAAACCTTATGCAAATTATTCCATCTAAATCTGTGACAAACTTTTTGCAAGGCATCCGCAATATTTCTGGGTATTGCTTGCTTCACTGCATTTACCTCTTTAAATGTTATTTAAAAAAAAAAAAAAGCAAAGTGCTATAGCTCACAAAAATCGTAAAAGTGAATATATTGAGACAAATACTGAATTGCTACTGCAGTTTGACTAACTCATTTGACTCTATCTGGAAACCACAATTTTATTCCTTCCTTTGGAGCACGAAGGGAAAGCTGAAGATCTGTCAGTCTTGGGTCCAGCTTTCTTCATGAAAGCAAACTCTAAAGGTAAGAACACTTTATGCTTTAACATTGTTTTATTGTACAAAACAAGCAATGCATTAAATATAGCATCTGTCATCCTTCAGAAAGACAAATACATGCAGAGAGACATGGATTTTGCTCACATTATAGCTTGTCCCTTGAAATCAGTACAACTTTGTCCTTTTCAAAGGAAGAGGACAAATCTCTAGTTAAGTTTGTGTGCTTCTAAATGAAGCCTTTAAACGCTGCCTTTCTTCTTAGTACTACACGCGACGGAGTTAACACTCCTCAAACACTACTGTTCTTTAGGCAGTGATATTTCACAGTGATCATTTAATGTCTGAAATCTTGGTTATTTCCTCTTTCATATCTTTGATCTCAGTTTGAACTCTTGTTAGATTGGCTAATTTCTCATTCAGTAAAGCAATTTCCTTTTCCCGTCGTAATATATCCTCCACTAATTTTCCTATTCTCAGTGTTAGGTCATTTATTAATGGCTCCAAGATGGCAAAATCCTTTTTAAGTTTGTACATCTTGGGTTTTAAATCATTTGCAAATGTAACCGTCTTGAGAACTTTTGCTCTGTCACCTTCAAGATTCAAAAGTCTATCTGAATGCTTGTTAAAATCACTCCTTAACTCAGATAATGCCGTCTTAATTTCCTCAATTTTTCTTGCGTTACTGGATGCCAGGCTTTGTAGTTTTGTACTTCGGTCGATGCTACTGGTAAGCAGGTCTCCTATATTTTTTACTGTCTTCTTGTCACCTTCTTCTACTTTATCTTCTAGTGTTTGCAAAGAATCTGCCAGTGCAGTCATATCTGAGACCAGGCCTGAAATGCGCCTGATGTCAGTTTTTACCGTCACAATTGTCAAAGTTATGTTTTTTACTACAGAAGCTGCATTCTGCTCAACACTTGAAACTGCATGAAAAAGAGTTGTTAAATTCTTCTGCAGTTCTTCTTGTTTTTTAATTACGCTGCTAGACCATGTTTTCATTGTATAAGTATCTTCCTGCAGATGTTTAATGTGAGAAATTATTTGAAGGTCTTCCAGCTGCTCCATTAAGTTCCAAGTCTTTTCACACTAGAGGGATACAAATAAAAATATTTGAGAAGATTTCTCGCTTGACAACTCACATCAAGATGTACTCTAATGAAATGCATTACTATTCTGATATTGAAATTGAGCACAAACCCTGTCTTTAGGAAATAAATTTCTGTTGCAACAGAACAAAAAAATTCATTTTCTTCCTTTCAGTACACATAACAACTCCAAATCTTACTACTTTTTCTATGTTAACAATTACAGGAAGGTGCTGTATGACTTTCCAGCATCACCTCTGAAAACACAAGTCATCAAATGCAATCTTCCTGTGATTTACAGAAATTTTTGTATTAAGCCTATAACCTGCATGATCCAGAAAGACACACATAGAATGACATTTGGAAACATTTGAGAGAGATGCCTACTTTAAAATTCTCTTATCCAAAAATCATGGACCATAATTATTTTTTGCGGCCTTTCAGTACTTAAAGGGGGCCTATAGGAAAGATAGGGAAAATCTTTTTAGTAGGGACAGCTGTGACAGGACAAGGGGTAATGGCTTTAAACTAAACCAGGGTAAGTTTAGACTGGATATAAGGAAGAAATTCTTTACAATGAGGGTGGTGAAACACTGGAACGGGTTGCCCAGGGAGGTAGTGGAGGCCCCATCCCTGGAAACATTCAAGGCCAGGTTGGACGGGGCTTTGAGCAACCTGATCTGGTTAAAGGTGTCCCTGCTCACTGCAGGGGGGTTGGACTAGATGACCTCTAGGGGTCCCTTCCAACCCAAACCATTCTATGATTCTATTCTATTTGACGTGGTTTTATTTTGGTAACCATAATACTTATTTTGAACATGACATTCACAACAGAAAAAGCCAAAGGAATTAGGCATGGTTCCCTTTTGTTTAAGCAGCTACCAAAATACTTCATAGGAAAAACATTACTTAAAACAGCCTGCCTCCATAAAAGCTACATTAATGAGGGAACACTCATGCTACTTTTGGATTTTTGGCCAAATTTGCGAGTTCACTTTTTTTTTTTTTGTTTTTTTAATGATTGGTTCTTAGTTTTCAGAATTGAGAGGAAGAACGTATCTGAGTGATGCTATTCTGTTCAATCCCCAGTAAGTCAGGGTAGAACTTGGAGAAAAAAACACCAAATGGGCAAGCTGAAAAACATTCTAAGAGTCTAGAATTAGTTTCATACTAATCCTTTTCTTGACACTAGAAGTAAAAATACCACCAAAGAAACAAATATATTTAACTTTTTGATAGAGTTGGTATTCCTCACTAGCACAGAACTGCTTGCTTAAAAACAAAATACCAAAATTTAGGTTGTGGAGAGTTGTGCTGGTTTCCTAGGTAATGCCCTCTAAGGATGAGGATTTCCTGTTCAATCTCGTGTACATTCAGCTTTCAATAGGGTTGAGGTTGATGAAAGACATTAAATTGGGGAGCATACCAAGGTAATTCAGCCATCATCCTTCCCCAAAAATACATGAAGTAGAAACACACTGGAAAACACTTGTGAAAAGTATTTAAAAACCATTTGTGTATAGAATAGTAGTTCTTCATGGAACACTGAACACTCAAGTATTTATTCCGTCCCATTTCTGGAAGAGCAATTTATTTTGAACTAGATTATGCACCAGGACAGGGGAATCCACTACAATATATTTTTATTGAATATGACTGTAAGCAGATACAAATCTATACATAAGTAATAAATACATGAAAGCGATAGACTTTATAACATTGAGAAATGCTGGTTTAGTAGTCTCCTGAATGGGCAGCATTAACTGTTTAGTGAAGATTTCAGTAGGGTTCTAGATAAATGAATGTGCAGAAACCAGAATAATTCAACTGAAGTCTGATTGGGTCATAAAAGTTGGGGGTTCATACTGTCTGCTAAAGCAATCTCCTTTTCTGAGTTCAGGAATCAGAAATTACCACAAGGTAAGTCTGTAGACAGAAATCTATGGTGGTCCCGAGGTCCAAATTTTAGTGAACAGCTATCAGGCCTATTGGGTAGTACTATGCCCTGTGTAGGCAGACCTATTGTATCTATGGGTAAATTAGATATTCCCTGCCCCCAAGTATGTAACTCCATGGCTTTCAATAATTGCTTTCGCAGCTCTTGGTTCACCAGACTTGTGGAAACAATGGCAGTGACACTTAAGTTTTTTTTTTCTCTTTGAAACGCAATGCGATACCAGACATGTCATGCAATGCCTAACAGAGAACATTCCACAGAAGAATAGGTTAAAACTTGTTTCTAACAGCACCAAAACAAACAAAACCCCCTACACTAATACAGTGGCTGATCACACCAAACTTGCAAATTAAATGATGGAAGAATCTAACAGGAATATCTGTTAATAAGAACTTCAGTCTATGTGTAGTCCAACAAATCCAATAGCTGTACAAAACTATGCCAGTGATTTTAGACCTCATTTTCAGCCTTTTCAAACTTTCTAAGGAGGCTATTTGCATGAGGCCAAAGAAATAAAAGATAACGCCAGCTGCTATGAAACCCCCTGCGTATAAATACCAGTACAAGAGAGGGTTCTCTTTTAAAGGGTGCTTTTCTAGTGTTTTCTGTAATGCTGTTGTATACAAGCTTCAGCTGTTAAAAATATACTTGGTGCTTTCCTGCACATAATAAAGTATGTAGATCCCAGTAACAACTCTGACATTGAAAAGCCTGTACCGTAAACACAAAAACATGATGGTATGTAATACATTAAAAGCAAGGTACACACATATCTGCCTAGAGATATGTATTTAATGGTACATTGTGTTACAAGTCCATAGAATATAATACAAAAAGTAAAAATATAAAAAACAAAATAGTGAGAACGAAATACAAATTTTAATCTGTTGTCTCTGGTTTTGTTTTTTCCTTAAATTCAAATACTCTACTTCAAATTCCATTTTAATAAAAATGATCTTTTAATAAATAAGATGAAAATAATCTTTAATTCAAGAAAATACTCCTTGCCTCTTCCAACGCAGCATTTCTTGTTCTCTATCCTCTTTATTATAAGTTTGCCTTTCAGTCTGATCTAATGCCTGTTTAAATTGAGGACAATATTTCAGCTACCCTTCACATATGTTGGAATGACATTATTTAGAATAAATTAAAGTGCTCTTTCATCAATGAAACCCTAAGTCCAAAATCACTTATCCCCATTCTGGTCATTTTCTAAGTTAGAGCTTTCTAAAGATAATTCTTTTGCTTTTGAAGATAGTTCCATGTCATGCACTACTTCTTCTAAAACCACTGTTTCATTTTGCACTTTCAATATGCTGTCATTGTACTGTATGCCTTCAAGAACCTTTTGCATTGCCATTGCATCAGAAACAGTTTTCAACATATCATTTTCCACAGTATATAGCTGTGTTGTCAAGTCCTCTATTTTTTTCTCCATACTTAGCAATTTACTTGATAATCTAAGAATAGAGTGAATAGCATCTTCAATTGCTGGCAAATGGGTCTTGCACTCCTCAATTTTAGGTTCATAGTTGGCAAGTTTCTGATTCAGGTCTGTGTCCTTGGCTACCAGACTATTCTGTTCTTCTTCTAGCTTTCCAACTGCCTTTGCATGTAAGTCCAACTTTTGTTCGACTCTAGAGAAGTCATCATCTTCTTGCCTTTTTACTGTTTTAATATTTCTGCCAGTACTGTCTTCCAAATCTCTTACTTTTTCTGAAAGGGATTTAATTCTTTGGTCAACTTCATTAATTTGGGAAGTTACTTCTGTATGTATGAACTTCACTTCAGATTTTAAATCACTAGTGTTTGTGTTCATTTCATCCAAGCTTCTTCTCCAGGAATTTATAACATTTTGGAACTTCTCATCAATGTTATGCAACTTTATAGAGAGAGTTTGTTCGTTGTTCTGAATGTCATTTATGATGTTGTGAAGAGAAGATATTCCCTGCTCAAACGCAATCATGGTGGAGATGGATGCGGCAGCTTCTTGTAGGATACTTTCAGAAGGCTCAAGCTGCATTTGTAACACAAAACAATGTCCATGTCTACTTAACTGAAGTAAGAATAGAAAACCATTTGCATTTATTTAGCAGATAATAAAGTTCCTTAGAAGCCACTTTACTTGTTACAAAGTTCCTGTATGTTTTGTTTTCATATTTCATCTTTAAAATACTGTTGATTAACCTAGCATGAAAAAGTCACAGAAAAGGGTATGTTTCTTGTTGAATTTCTGTAGGCTACATCCCATTTTCTTTGTTGTAAGTCCCTTATTTTCCATGGTGGTTTTGGGTTGGGGTTTTTTTGTAAAATATATCGCACTACATAAATCCCATGCAACATTTTGCAATCTGAAGTGTAGTATATAAATATCCAAATTACATCATGTATAAACGACATCATTATGAGATCAGTGCTAAAACAACATCACTGGGATAAGGCATGCTGTACTTCCATTATTATCTGTATGATACAGGGGATAATTCAGCAGCCAGCCCAAGTTTTGTATTTGATAACGTCATACATAGGTAAGAAAATAAAATAGCAATAAAAAAAAATCTAACTATCACTTCATTATGTCTTTTGTATTATTAGAAGAGGTCTACTACATAAAAATGCCTGGAAGTTTTCTTCAAATCAATGTATACTAGAAGAACAGTACTGTTAGAACTAAGTATGTGCATAAATGTAAGGTTTTAAAAATAGTTTAGTATCTAAAAAATAATACTGAGACACAACCACTATATTCACACACTTGAACAACGGTATCGATTGACACCTTTATTCACATAAAATATTCTCCAAAGGCCTATTCACGGGCAAGTAGAACACATTATGAAAGGGTTCTTTTAAACAATCAGTTACATTTAACTAAATGACAACAAAGTACAACAACAGCAAACGTCCACCAGAGATTACCCAATTAACATGTTAGTGAGTCATTACCTTTTCAGAAATTAAGTTAACTTTATTTTCCATGTCCAGGAACTTTTCAGCTTCTTGCTGTAAGAAATTGTACTTTTTTTCCATATCAGCAAATTGACCTGACTGCTGAAATAGGAACCTGCAAATTGCAAGTAAATAAATAGTAAATATAACCACACAATCAGCATATATTAGGTGTTCCAGGACCTGATTCACAGCAATCTGTTTCTGCAGGGATATGTGTTCACCGAATTTGCTAGATTAATACATGAGGAATAAAATAAAAATAATTTAATGAAGTTGATCAGTCTTCATACTGGAGTTACCTTCCACTAGAGGTGGAAAAATAAGGAAACTTGCATAGGTGTTCTTTGGTTTTACATCGTATGCCATTCAAACAGGAAAAACGTCCAATAAGACTGCTGACATAGGGACACCGTTACATGCTTGTAATGCATTGCCTCACAATATATTTTACTGATAAAGTATTATTTATCAGTGGAAATAAAACACAAAAAAGTAATTTGGACTTTCTTGCAAGGCATTACAAAATCATGCATAGAAGCCTTTGGATTTAGATAGGCTGATTAATGTTGTTTAATTGTAACCATCCAAGAACACATGGTGCATTGTGGCAAAGCTTGTACAGCTACGGATACCTGACTTTTTCTGGATGTCTATTAATCCCAAAACAAGGTTGATCGTAGACTATGCAGGGATCCTCTTAGTAGCAAGAAGAATTTTATCTCAAATAATAGAGTTTATTTATAATACTTAAAATGCTTTCATAAACTGATATTTATTAGTATAGTGCATAGCAATTAGAAGTTTCAGAAGACCTACAATATACTATACAGATTGTGTAAAGCAATAAAAGCTAAAATGCTAGCTATATGTAGATAAATGCAAAACAGACAAACAGATATACATAAAACAGTCAGCAGAACCATGACTAATCTTTTTATTCTACTATGCCGTTCTGTTTCTCAAAGATTTAGATAGTGACATCTGGGTTATGTTAAAATAAGAACGAATTTTACTTTAATTTTCAGGTGACATCTAGAGTGTAATAATCTGGACTAATTTCTTGCCCTAGAATTCTGAGAATTTCATCATATCATTCTGCACGAAGCTCAGTTTCTGATGGAACTAAGGTACTGATGCTGCTAAGATATTCTAAAACATTTTACAAAGATATTTGACCTTTACGTGAGGATTCCACCTGACGAACAATTTACCACACTGCCAAGCAAATTATTTACAGAAAACTCCACTTCTACTGTTGAATTATTTGTTAGCTGCCACATGAGCCTTGTTGTACTTATTGTCAGATTAAGTTGCTCTTCACAGTTAGACGTAGTCTCCAAAGCAGGTCTTTACAATTCATGAGCAAGGCACCTTTTAAACTTTCAACAGGATAGAACAGATCGAGCTTCTATAATCCCTCACTGTATGCCAATGTTTCCACACTGGTGAATACTGCTATTCTTTTCTTGACCCTTCTAGCTTTAACAAGTTTCTGCAGTCACTTAACCCAAACGCTGTATTCAAATGTAACTAATCATATTGCCCATGACTGAATACAGTATAGAATACAAATGAAAATATTAAAATCCACTTTAGAGGGTTACCTACCAGGTCAGCACCAGGCAAAAGGCAAGGGAAGTTATGCTCAAGCTTGTCCGTGAGTCTATCCAAAAGAAATTCCGATTATTGCTGGTCTTGGGACTTGCCAGCTTCCCACAATTAGTGTGCTTCTCAGCCTTTGGTGAACCATCACTGGTCTTGGATGAAGAAATACCTTTTTTCCTCTGCTTAACTTCAGACATTTTGTGTTTTTAAAAAGCAGCAGCAAGAGAGAGCTAGGGGAAAAAAAAACAACCAAAAAAAGACTCCTTACTTCTAAACATTCCCAAATAGTTTTGCCCTTTAGTTACACAAATACACCCCCAAAAATGTTTCCTACAGTGTTTACCTTGTTTTCTAGTTATGTGAACTTCTGTAAGGTGTCATTATACTTTCACAAGACTTTGTGAAAATTTGTTTTCTATACTATAGAGCACTGCTTTCATATTTTCCTCAGACTGAACGGACTCTTCAAACTTCAGCTAATTTCACCTGTCCAGAAATATTTCATTTGTTGTGCAATAAGCCACGTTGAGGATATATTTAAAATCACATGGACTGAAAGTGTGATATTTCTTTTTATAGTTGATTACTGTCCCAATTTCATCAGCCATTTCACTAGCCTGTTTTACTTGTAGTTTTTTTAAAAAAAGTGATCACCTACTCCATTAGTGATGCTCCACTACTACATTAAAGGGGAAAATTAATTTTCTCATTTTAAAAAAATGGGATTGCAAATCAAGATTTAATTTAGAAATACTGTAATGATTTCATGTCACCTGTAAAACCACAGACATCAGTTAATAGAAGGACATTAACAGAAAAATACAGAAGACGAATGAAATAATGCATCCAGATAAGAGAAAAGATATAATTTCCTCTTTGCTAAAAATAAGGTCCAGATAGATTCAGGCAATATGAATCTCTAGGTTCGAAGAGTACAAAACCTCATAGTCTAACCAAGCGGGAGGAGAGAGTGGAATTTTTAAGACTAAAATCCTCCACTATACGGCTCAAAATAGCCTAGATCCTTGGTGGGTTCGGTTTAGCGCAGTTTGAGATAAAAATGTGCTTCTTTCTGGATCATTTTGCAGTATTGACGCTTAGTCACGTTACAAAATATAAATATTTAAATATTAGAGATACATAGTCACATACTTGCATAAAAGGTATTGTTTAAAATCTGAATCTGTCACACGAGCATGAAGCTTAGAGCTGTTTGCGAGTCACCGTGCTAGGGAGCATGCTCCGAGTCTGAAGTACGTAGGAAAAAAATCCACCTCTTGCTCTCCAAAAAACCAGCAAAAATGCCATTTCCTAACTTTTAAAACGCCTCTGGGATTCAGAGCACGTATTACGAAGTTATGATCTGAACACCAGCGAGGGAAATCGCTCAACACAGGACCATCAACCCGGCTTTAACAAGGACGCCTTCAGGGCGCAGCCCCGCGCGGTACCGCGGGCCGAGCCCGGCTCCCTGCAGGGGCCCTCCCG